AAAAGTAACTCATGAGGCTAGAAGCCAAAATAATTATTATCTCAGGGGGGTTCGCGTGAGAGGGGTTAAGGGCATGTTCTAGAGTGAGGATCGTTCTGTTAATGTGCATAGCTGTTTCACACATATGTTCACTTGGTAAAAACATCGCAACGGGTGATTTGTGTTCTTCTCTCATACAGGTTATAGTTTAACAAAACAAAAAAAAAGTTCATAAAAGGCTAATCTTCATCCTGAGCAAAACCTGGCCCCACAGAACTATTTCTGACGTAGGGACTACTAGTAAACAAATTCAGAAAAGATATAATTTTAAAATATCATATATATCATTATCTCCTGCTGCTAAAGGTGCACAGTGGTCATCTCTAGATTATGGGTCGTATTTATTTTCGTGTGACTTCATAGAGCGCTTCATTGTTCTACGCCAATCACGTGCGACTAGTCACTGTTCGAAATACCAGTGGCTTGTTAACATACAATTTGGTTATGATAAGTTAGGATAAGATAACGAAAATGCTGGCACAGGAACACTTTCCCTGTGTCCAAAACAAGCCCTGGGTGGGGCTCTGTTTGTCACAGTTTCTGCCGGATCCCCAGAAGTCGGGAAGGGGTAGAGAAGCAGGGGTGTGATAGAAATAAGAAGGGCTCAAAGTTATCTATGCAGAGGGGAAGCAAAGGCTAAAGGAGAGCCAAGGCTTTAATCCTGGCTGGGAAGCTGACACCCACACCCCACCAAGAGCCTCTGCTCCACTGTTTTTCTTTCCTTTTCCCCACTCCTAATGCCAATGCCAGTCTCATCAGCCTAGAGTGGTCTTTCTCTTAAATCAGTGGTTCTCAACCTGTGGGTCACAACCCCTTTGGGGGCTGAATGACCCTTTCACAGGGGTCGCCAGATTCATAACAGTAGCAAAATGACAGTGATGAAGTAGCAACAAAAATAATTTTATGACGCCCACATGAAAGAAGCTCACCAGCCTGTGTGTTCATGAGGTGCCGAAGGGATCAGTTATCAGGCATCAAAGAACCAAAAATCATATCATTGTGTGTTCACCTCTCTGATACAATTGCTGAAGACAAATGGGTGAATAAGCAAATGTGGCGAAGAAAGCTGATAGTGCCCAGCTATCAAAAGATATAGCATCTGGGGTCTTAAAGGCTTGAAGGTAAATAAGTGGCCATCTAGCTCAGAAGCACCAAAGCCCACGTGGAAGGAGCACACCAGTCTGTGCAATAACGAGGTGTTGAAGGGATCGGATATCAGGCATCATCAGAGCAAAATATCTTATCACAGATAATGAGTCGGGGAGTGTGGGGTGGAGACCCAAAGCTTATTTGTAGGCCACTGCACATCCCCTTACAGAAGGGTCTTGGGGAGGAGACAAGCCAGTCAGGGTGCGATGTAGCAATGATGAAAAATACAACTTTCCTCTAGTTCCTAAATGCTTCCTGCCCCCTCCCCACTATCATGATCTCAATTCTACCTTGCAAGTTAGCTAGACCAGAGGATGTACACTGGTACAGATAGGAACTGAAAACACAGGGAATCCAGGGTAGATGATCCCTTCAGGACCAGTGGTGTGTGAGTGGCGATATGGAGGGTAGAGGGAGGGTGGGTTGGAAAGGGGGAACCGATTACAAGGATCTACATGTGACCTCCTCCCTGGGGGACGGACAACAGAAAAGTG